GGTGCAGCGTACCCCTATAAGCTGTGAGGCTTATCTCTTCAACTACTCCCTCTGTACTGTTGGGTTCCTTCCACTCTTGGACCCTTTGCTCCGGTACCTTGGTCAGCTCGGCCACGTTCCAAACCATCGCCCTTTTCAAAAAAATGTCCTTGCCCTTGAGGCATGTGAGGCCCTCCGCAGTACCTGGTACCCCTCAGCGTCCCCTCTCCAGAGGGACCCTCTGACCAGCTTTGACTGTCCCTCACCCACACAGGGTCCTAAATCCTCAGTATCCCCCATACACCGCTTATACTCCTCAGAGGATTGGCTCCTGGCACCCCCATTGTGGGGACAACCTCCTGTGCAGAGAGGAGGCATTGTGGATCCTAGTGGACAACATTTTCCCTGAGGGGCGTCCTGCCTGCAAGATCCGGACCCCTCTGTGCTTGCTGTTTTCGGTACTGAGGCATGCTAGGTAGAGGAGGGTGATACTGGGCTTTGACACTTTGGGGGTCCCAGCTTCTGTACAATCCGATCAATCGTGAAGCTTTTCTGCCCAAGGGAACCTGTTATCGCAATCGGCTGTCATCTCCATCCTCACATGAATCACTGACCCATGCAACCAGTGGGGACTCCTGCTCTCTTCTGGATCAGTGAGTCACCTAGTCATTGAGAGGATCGGGATGACACCCCTGGAGCCTGTACATTGAAAGCGAATGGCATCCCCTCCCCCCAATCACCAAACCGAGGAACTATATTTGATCCCGCCCACCCAGTCTACAGCAACCAAGGAAACGGAGGAGATGATTGGCTGCTGTGGGTTGCACCGAATTCATTGATGAGCCCTCAAACCTCTATCAGGGGGCGGCCGTGCCTCCGTGTGATGGAAGCTGAGCGTTGTGCGGAGGACCCCCCCCCCATACAGACGCAGACGGAGGCGGAGTGCACTCATTTATTGTTCATGTGAGCGGGTGACATCACAGTGATGGGAACTTTTGTGTCGTGAGAGGAGGTCATGTGACATCACAGTGGCATGCATCCCTATGGCCCCTCACAGCAGCTTGTGCCACTGGATGGCGCTGAAGAACGGGTGGGATTTTATCTTCTGGGCGCCCCCCGGGCCGAAGCCGAGCCGCTTCTCGGGATCGTAGTGCAGGAGCTGCAGGACAGAGATGATGTCATCACTATACAGGAAGCGGAATTCTACACACAGGTCACATGACATAAACCCTCCAACAGGGGGCAGCAGACAACCCGCATTGATGAGAACGGCTGCTGGCGGCCATAGGAGGATCTTCTAAACCCCCTCCCCCCCAACATAGTCTACAATGACATGGAACTCCGCCCACAACTGACGTACTAAAGTCTTACATGCGTGTTATGGGCGGTACAGCGCTAGAATTCCCCCTCAAGGTGGTAAAAGTCCGTCACTCCTGGCAATGAGAATACGGACAGACATGCTGACCACGTGTATTCCCGGACAGGGGCGCGGGAGAGAGCGGGGACAGGGGCCCGGGAGAGGAGAGAGCGGGGACAGGGGCGCGGGAGAGGAGAGAGCGGGGACAGGGGAGAGCGGGGAC